ATCCGCACCTTTCTAATTATGGATTATTAGACCCTTGTTCCAGAGATGGTTCTGCCCCATACCCTGAAAGCTAATCATTTTGACATGGTTGTCCATAGAAACCCAAAAGGACTTATCTTTAGAGAGCTTGCAGACACACCTAGAGGTTCCTAAAGGAAGGCATACCCAGGAAGGGCATGGAAGCTTTATGCCCCTTTCCCTATACCTTGCCCTACAAATCTTTTCATCTGTATCCTTTGTACATATTCTTTATAATAAACTGGTAAACCTAAGTGTTTCCCTGAGTTCTGTGAGCCACCCCAGCAAATTAATAGAACCCAAAGAGGGGCTGATGAGAACTCCAACCAGCTGGTCAGTCAGACGTCAGATTATGACTGCTGTCTGAAAGGGGGTGCGGAGTTTAGGGGACTGAGCCCTCATGCTGTGGGAGCAGATGCTAACTATAGGTAGATAGTGTTGGAATTGAATCAGAGGACACCCAACTGGTATCTAGTGCTTGCTGTGTGGAGAAAACCCCTCACATCAGGTCACAGAAGTCACCGAGGAAACATAGTTTGAAAGTTTTTCCAAAACATCTCAGCTTCAATATCAAGAGAAACTCCAAACCATTTTGGCTTGAAGTCATTCTCTCTGCTCCTCTGGTATCCTTTTTCCTTTGACTAATTTAATTTACAAGATTCCAAATCTGAACCATAAATGGCAAAATGGAAAACCCCTGCATGGGTAAACACACAGAAGCAGTCCTGTGCTCCTGATAACCTCTGCTTCCCTATTAAACTTCTCTGGGCAGGCTCTAAGGGTGGGGCTCCAGAATACCTCTGACTTCTTGCTGTTCATGTAAAGAATGGCCAACTCGTTGTCAACGAGCTCCACTCCAATAGAAGATAGCTGTTGGCCCTGGTCCAGCTCATGCACAATACGCTTCACATCCTCAATCAACATCTGGGCATCCCTGGTGAGATGAACAGTAGTGGTCAATGAATACATTTTCTCAGGGATGGACATGGGATGGGGAGTCAATAATATGGCATGATTTGGGTTATAGCCTTAAGCCAGACCTGGTTCAAAGCTCTGGTATCCTACCTGTTCTCTCCTGCAACTGTCACCACATGAGGCTTTTTGTTCAGAAGAAATTTCTTTAAGGTTTCAATGTCTTGTGCCTGGATTGAAAAAAATGGAATTGAACAGCTCTGAGGATAAGGGGATATCAAGCACTTCTGTCTCCCTATGAGCTCAGGGTCTCACAAGACCAGAGAACAGTAAAAGCTGGAAGGGTCTTCAGAGGAGATCTGGTTCAAGCTGCCACCAGGGATGCATACCTACTTGTTCCTGACAGACAATTGGCTTACTTACTCCACTGAGTAGAATCTCACTGCAGTGGCCAGATCTGAATGATGAATAGCTAAGAAACTGATCTCTTTCATTATAAACCAAAATCTGTCTAATACTTAACCACTGATCCTAGATTTGATCAAGTAAAACAAAAAATCGGTGCCTGCCCTCTTTTGGGTGAAGGACCTTTGAAAAGGTCAACATGGCAAGTATGTCTCCCTAAGTCATCTTCAGCTTAAAAATATCCAGTCCCTACTGTAGTTCTTTATAACTCAGTTTCCACTGATTCCCATCCTTGATGTCCTGGAGTTTTTGTGGATGTCTATTTCATTTCTGGTGTGATTTATGCTGAAAATCTGAGTATAAACAAGTGAGGAAGGTATTAGTGCTATAGAAGAGCCAAGCATGGCACACAACCTAAGATGGACCACCAACCTTATCTAGGCCCCAGGGAGGTTCTCATAGGGGATGATGTTCTTTTTCTTTTTCTTTTTTTTTGGCTGTGGCTGGGTTTGAACCCACCACCTCTGGCATATGGGGCCGGCACCCTACTCCTTTGAGCCCAGGCGCTGCCCTGGATGATGTTCTTCTATCCACAATGTTGTTATATTCCTCCTTCTTGGAAATGCCATACATCTTTCCCCTTCTTGGGCTGCTCCTAACTATAAAATACTCTTGCTATTTTTCTAAGTAAAAGAATTCAATACCTTTCTGGCATCTCCTAAAATCTAGCTGAGCTTTGTATAGATGGTACCTTGCATAACCATGTGCCCAATAGGGTGGGTGCCTAAGGAAGGTCTTTATCTCTCTTTATATAGAAAGCTCAATGTTAGACAAGATGCACTGCTTGTTGCCTAGCCAGAAAGAACACAAAATAGAGAGATTGGGACCTCTGGCTTGACTATTACGAATCTGTTAGGCTTTTCTAAGATTGTCGTATTTCTGGCTTACAATAAGGCTGTGGTTAACTAAACACCATGGTGTCTTATTTACACAAACCACTGCCAGACAGAACTATTCTGATAGTCTTTTTTCTTTTTTTTTGAGACAGAGTCCCACTTTGTGGTACAGTACTGTGGCATCATATCTCACAGCAACCTCAAACTCTTGGGTTCAAGCCATGCTCTTGCCTCAGCCTCCTGAGTAGCTGTGACTACAAGTAACCACCAGAAAGCCTGGCTAGTTTTTCTATTTTTTTTTTTTTTTTGAGACAAGAGTCTCATCATGTCACCCTCAGTAGAGTGCCATGACATGAGTTCACAGTAACCTCAAACTCTTGGGCTTAAGAGTTTCTCTTGCTTTAGCCTCCCAAGTATCTGGGACTATAGGAGCCCACCACATCTGGCTATTTTTTTATTGTAGTTGTCATTGTTGTTTAGCAGGCCTGGGCCAGGTTTGAACCCACCAGCCTCAGTGCATATGGCCAGTGCCATAATCACTGTGCTATGAGCGCCGAGCCATAGTTTTTCTATTTTTAGTAGAGATGGGTTCTTGCTCTTGCTCAGGCTGGTCTCTGACCTCTGAGCTCAGGTGATCCACCAGCCTTGGCCTCCCAGGCCTCCCGGAGTGCTAGAATTATAGGTATGAGCCATCAAGCCTGGCCCAATTCTGATAATCTTATCTTCACATCAATATCTTAAAAAAAATAGTTGTTAGGCCAGTCGTGGTGGCTCACTTCTATAATCTATCACTCTGAGAGGCTAAGGCAGGAGGATTGCTTGAGCTCAGGAGTTCAAGATGAACTGAGCAAAGCGAGACTCTGCCTCTACTAAAAACCCAGAAAATTTAGCTAGGCATTCTGGGTGGGGTGCCTGTAGTCTTAGCTACTCTGGAGGTTGAGGCAGGAGAATTGCGTAAACCCAACAATTTTAGTTTGCTATGAGCTAGGCTGATGCCAAGGCATTCTAGCCTGAGCAATAAAACAAGACATTGTCTCGAAAAAAAAAAAAAGTTATTTGTTGGCTAGCCATGGAGGTTCTGCCTGTAATCCTGGCACTTCAGCAGACTGAGGTGGGAGGATTGCCTCAGCCCAGAAGTCTAAGACCAACCTGGGCAACATAACAAGACCACATCTCTAAAAAAAATAAAAATAGCTAGGTGCAGTGGCTTAACCCTGTGATCCTAGCACTCTGGGAGGCCATAGTGGGTGGATTACCCGAGTTTAGAATTTTGAGACCAGCCTGAGCAAGAGCAAGACCCAGTCTCTAGAAATAGGAAAACTAGCCAGGCTTTGTGTGGCACCTGAAGTCCCAGCTACTTGGTAGGCTAAGGTAAGAGGATCGGTTGAGCTTAGACTTTGAGGTTGCTGTGAGCTATGATGCCACAGCTCTCTACTGAGGGTGACAGAATGAGACTCTCATAAAAATAAATAAATAAATAAATTAGCTCGTGTGGAGGCAAGAGTCTGTAGTTTTAGCAACTTAGGAGGTGGAGGCAGGAGGATCACTTGAAACCAGGAGTTTGAGAGGTTGTTGAGAGCTAGGCTGATGCCACAGCACTCTAGCCTGGGTAACAACAGAGCGAGATTGTCTGAAAAAAAAAAAAAAAATTCTAGAAATATGCCAACCAGATGAATTCCAATTCCTCTTTCTTTGGAAAAAGACACTGGAAGGCTAAAGCAGGGTCAAGGCTGGCTTCTTGCCTCAGTGGCTTTTAGCTCTTGGAACAGCCTGACCCAGATGCTGGTAAGAACAGAGACAAGACAGGCAGCCCCAGTAGCATACCAGGCCTAGGAAGTGGCCTCAAGCCAGAAGCAAATTCTACACCAGATAATTTGAGTGCCATCTACTGCCCATGGATGTGAAAGGCATCCCTGGAGGTGAGAAGCCATGAACCAGAGACAGTCAGGGTCTTGCATGGAATGCTGCTTAGATCATAAACACTTAACGCCACTGAATCCTAAGACGTATTCCAGATGTACACTTGGTACGCTATCCTGGCCACTTGCCTTCTTTTCCCGCTCTTCCTCTCTCCATGCAGTTCGTCGCTTGGTAAAATGGGGAAGTCGGAGGAAATCTGTTACTTCTCCTTCACCGTTGACCAGGGCACAGAATACAGGGTGATCTCTGTCAGTCCATCAGAAAAAGAGCACAGTAATCAGCAACATAATGCTATGAATAAGAGAAGAGTTAAATTAGAAAGACAGGTAAGAGATGTTGCTGGGTAGGCAGGAACAGGCTGTTACCTGGCAGAGGAGAAAGCAATACCGAGGACTCGAATGCCCTTCCCTTGGTTCTCATCCATAAAGTCATCATCTTCCTCCACCTGCTGATCTGGTCGGTAGGGTGCCACCCTCAACCAGTTGTAGAGCTTTCGGCTACAGGCCTAGGGAGGAACCAGATACTACAGTAATCAGGTTCACCAAGAATACTCGGGAGGAAATACACACATGTCTGAGGATGTATATCCATGTGTGATTGTGTTCCTATTCCCAGCAAGCTTACCACCTAGGGGTATACATTGTTTTTATAAACAGAAGAGTATACAGAGAACAGTGATATATACAGTGAATATCTGGGTGAGTGTGGGAGAGGGAGAGAAGAGGCTCCTTGAGAGGAGAGGTCTGAGAGGTCTGAGAGGCATCCCCTGCAGGCCCGTTGGTACCTTCTTAGATTATGCTTCACTTGCTCCTAGTATGGGACTACTTGGGTTCCTTCACGCTCGGCTATAGTTTGCAGAAATCAGATGACTCAAGGTCATGGGCCTCTGTCCTCACCTTTATGACATATTCCTTGGCTTCTGCTAGCAGCTTGTTCTTGAGCTCCTTGGCCATCTGCACATAGAGGAACTGCTGTAAAGCTCGTTCAATGGCCATGGTGCGTTGCCGGTTCCACTCTTGCACCTGGTGGCTGAATTCATCTCGGTAGTAAAATTGTTTGATCTCTTCAAAATAGGTCTGGTCGTTGCCATAACTGAGGAGACACAAAGCACTGATGTTAGGAATGGAGAAAAGGTGATGCCTAAATGCCCGTGAATGCTATGAGTGAGCAAGAGACAATGGCTCCCTCAGTTCTGAAAGTGGCTCACATTCCTGAGGGAGCCTTCCCTCCACCAGAGTCCTCACCAAACCTTCCCCCCAAAGCTGCCAAGCCCATGGCTTTGCTTACCCTTCGACTCCCTTCATATCTATGCAGATGTCAATGGTGAGCAGCCCTTCATCTTCAGCCAGAGCTATCTTGAGGAACTGGTCATCTCTCAGTTCCTTAACAGGCTTATTCTTTAAGTACTTGAAGGAATAAGCATAGTGGGCCTCATCCACATCCTGCACACATCAAGAAGAAATCATTAGCCTGTGGATGGCCCTGAGAGAAAAGACTGCCTCTCTGTTCTCAGGCAGATAATTCAGCTCAGCAGAAGGCAAGAAACTCAGGTTAAAGAGACTCAAGTTTAATCAATTAGAGAGCTAGGTCATATCTTAGATCAAAGCCCTTCACCCAGCTCACCTTTCTACCTTTCTTGGTGGGGGTTATATTTAGCTTGGCTCTCTCCTGGAAGGTCTGCCTCAACACCTGCCGGACGAGGGGCTCACGGGCAATCTGGAGGGCTACCATGTAGCGGGCACCTTCCAGCACAGCTTCTGGTGTGGGGAACTGGCTGTGGGGAAAATGGTGAAGCTGCAGGATAAGGGCATCTTGGTTTCAGGCCCCTCCCCCTGCCAGCCACTTACTGCATACCTACCTGCAAACGTAATCCTTGGCCAGTTCTAAGGGCTCTGCTGGGAACTGTTCTGTCTCATGCCGCTGGTAGCTGTCCCGAAGGTTCTCTCCAAATTGCTCTGGAGTAAGCCCAAACTTTTTGGCCAAGCCATCTAAAGCCAAAAGAAAGAGTGAAAGGTAAGGTGAAAACTAGGCTGACAAACCTCTTGGCTTCAGAATCTGGAGTAGCAATTTGGGTACTAGGCTTTAAAGGGGCCATGAATGAGCAGGACCAGGCTGTCAAACCACCACCAAAAAAAAAAAAAACCTGTATTTATTTTTTTGAGACTGAGTCTTACTTTATCACCCTCAATTGGGTGCTGTAGCATCATAGCTCACAGCAACCTCAAATTCTTGGGGTCAAGTGATTCTCTTGCCTCAGTCTCCAGAGAAGCAGGGACTACAGGTGCCCACCACAATGCCCAGCTATTTTTAGAGATAGGTCTTGCTCTTGCTCAGGCTGGTCTCGAACTCTTGAGTCCAAGGAATCCACTTGATTTGGCCTACGAGTGCTAGGATTATAGGCATGAGCCACTGTCCCCAGGCTCAAAAAAACTGAATTGAAATACCTGATGAATAGAGAGGATAGACTCTCTCCCTCTACTCATGAGTTTCCCACTATAGGAAATTAGGGAAAGGCTGAGCCTTACTGTGGGGCATGGATGAGTAGGGGGAGTAGTGTTTATGAGGACCAGGTAGTAGGCTGGTTCAGGCCTGAATCAGTGAGTGACCCACACATCCGTTCCTTTTTCTACCCACTTGTCCTCCTGGGTTACTCCCTTTGCTCAAGCCTAGAATGCCCAGTTCCCAAGAAGCTGGCTTTACCTAGCCCAGCACTCTGACAGATGGTGTACATGTCTCGGCGGGAGGCCTGCTTGAGTTCAGGGCCCCTCTGCTCCTCATCTTCTGCCTCTTCTCCTTCACCTGGGAAGAAAAACATGACAAGAGTTAGAGTTCTAGTTTCCAGTCTCTCCCAAGGATCTGATACATGTTGGCGGAAATGCCAAAGAGTACCAAGCAAGGGCCTCCTTGGAGATGCCATGTCCATCAAGCCTCCTGGCTTTTCTTTTCCAGCACTCACCCTCTTCATCTCCCTCTTCCCGTACACGCTTCAGCTTCTTGCGGCTAGCCTTGGCAGCATTCTGCATCTTGGGGATGTCACGACCATAATAAAGAAGAAAATGGTTGTAGACATCTTTCAGCTCATCCATTGACTGTACATCCTTGAGCCTGAAGGGAAGGGACATAATGTCTTTAGTTACCACTGGGAAAGGGGTATATCCCATTTTACTATAAGAGGTCCAATTCTCAGGAGGCAAAATGCCAACTAGGATGCGTACCTTTATTTTCTAACTGCTAAAAAGACACAACAACGTAACTGCAACTAAGGTATCTTAAAGAAACATGTCAAACAGAAAAAGTGACCGGTGGTTGTTAAAAATGGAAGCAGGCTCGGCGCC